TTAAATCCGACTATTTTCTGCATAATATTATAAAATAGGTACGAATATTGTTTTAGGTGCTGTAAAACAACTTTGTTGTTCGAGAAAAAGAAAACCAAAGAGATTTTACAAAGATAATAGTGTTTTTAAGTGACATATACCTACGTCTTACCTAGAGGAAAAAAAGAACTTAAAATAAGTGACCAATTTAAGTAAGGTAAATATTCTCGAGAAATATCCGAGTCGAATAAATGCACACTTCACAAAGAATTGCGTCAGGGACGCAGTCTTGTAATTTTTTGTAAATGCAGTAGGTAGGATGATATATTATATATAAATATACCTAGTGGTTACCTAGTTAGTAGTGCACCTACGTGTTAAGTACCATCGGAACTAGTAGTGAGTAATGTTTTTAATTTTGTCACTCGTTAAGTCATAACCTACACTTATTATTTTTTTATTGATTTTAGTTACATCAGCTACTAGGTCATTACCCATTAATTTTAATTTACATTGTATAAAATCGCATGTAGATATATTTTATTTATTTTTTTAATTATCCCGCRGCAACCAAGGCCATTGGGAAGGGGGTAGTACTGTAGGTTTTAGGGAACGGAAGGTTGGTTACACGTGGTCGAGAGTTTTGACAGAATTTCTATTGGGGCATCCGTAGGTTTCTGGCATGCCCCGGAATGGGGGATGGCGGCACTTGTTCTCCGTCTCTCCGAACGTGTATAGGTAAATTGAGTCCGAGATAAGTTTGGTACATTTTGAAAGCGGTAAATTGAGTCCCGGGGAAAAATAGGTAGTAGGTAAGTTGAGTCCCGGAAAAAATAAGGCAGTAGGTAATTTGAGTCCCAGGGAAAAACGATTTATATGCATTTAAAATTTATTTGTATTTGTGATTTGTGGACATTCATTGACTGCATGTATAATATGATTTTGAAAATAGAAACATGCATTTTTATTGCATAAGAAATAATTATATAATTAATAAAAATGCAATTAAAATTCATGTTGCTATATTCAAAATCATAAACATGCAGTCAATGAATGTCCACAAATCACAAATAAAAATTTGATAGTGCACATTTTTAAATTTTAAATGCATATAAATCGTTTTTACCTGCAACTCAAATCACCTACTACCTTATTTTTTCTGGGACTCAACTTACCTACTGCCTATTTTTCCCCGGGACTCAATTTACCGAGTTTGGGTCATTGGGACTCAATTTACCAACCACGCTCTGGACACCGTGACTTGCCCGGAGAAAAATGTCGCCCGATGGTCGAGGATCGAACCCGGTCCAGCAGATATTTTATATTATAGTTATTAGATGTTATTTAAAGTTATACAAATATTTCCTTTAAGAAGTTGATTGGAGATCTGGTTGTAGCCGTCATATAGGGTTTCTTTTAGTAGATTAGGTGTGTGGTATTTATTTTTTGAATTTTCGAACTTAAACACTTATTTATTTATTTTATTAGTGATTTATTCGTCCATTTAAAATAATATCAATATAATAGRTACCTATATTTAGTTAATATTTTTACCAAATGTTTTTCTGACGGAGTTTACACTGAAAATAGGCGAAGTTACATTCGCCTAATGCCCTAATAGGTAATCTATCGATCACCACTTTATCGAAGTATATTATTTGAAGGTAAATTAGGATCTGATTTAAAATTTAAATTGAATGTAGTTTTTTTTTGCGTTTTGTATCTTAGTTTCACCCCTTAAATGGATGTAAATCCATAAAAAAAATAATCTATTGAGTAAATCTATTTAAGTTAACTAATGCAGAGGTCTAAGATTTTGTAATTTAAGTACCTACAATAATTTACTCATAACTTATTATTTAGACATTTTATACATAAAAATGTTGCATATAAACGAATAGTAAAATTTGATGTTAAAATTCAACATAACACATGTGAATTTCGGGTTTTTCTAAGATAATTAAATACATCTGAATGATTAAAAATATCTTTCTTAATAATTATTGGTTCCTAAAATATTTTATGCAACATAGGTACATTTTAACTAATTTCYAAATAAGTTTTCTGCACATACCATAATGAATACTATAATTTTTTTAATTAAGTATAGGTAAATTTCAAACAGTTGTTAGTTGTACATTTGGTTTTTGTAAATGAAGAAGGTAAAATTCAACGTATAATTCGGGTTATCTAATGTTAATTCCTAACATTTAAGGATCAGTAAAATAAATAATTATAAAAAATCATAGCATCAAAATGTACAAACTTTTTTACCATACAATGATACAGACTAAATGTATATACCTAAACAGTTCATTGGTCTAAATACATTTGGAAGGGAAATTGAAATTGCTATTATAARATMTAGAAATAAATTCAGATGCGTGCTATTTTTAACAAACCGGGAACTAATTTGGACGTTTCGGAAAAAATTAGGATTCCTCAGGATTTAGGAATAGAAACGTGCACCACATGCAATGAAATTCTTAATGGAATGCAATGCAATGGAATTGCTCTCCGAGCATACAGTAAGTAGGTTCACAGTGAAAATAATTTTTATGATTTTTCTTTTAGTTTGTTTTTCTTTTCTTTTTTCAAACGCCGTATACATTTATTTGTTTACATGTACAATTTATAAATAATAATGATAATGATAAAAAAAGAAGAAAGTYATCTTAAGTTAGGTTTCGTTTTCACAGTTACATATTTATAATATCTCATTTCACTTAATAACATAATAATAATATATGCCGAAAGACAGAGTTAAACAATTATAATTATCTAAAAAAAAAAACATAACAAAAACACATATAAATATAATATATATATATATAAATATATATAAAATATCATCTTGAAATTCTGTGGGGGGACACGGGTAAAGCGGTAAAACTATATTTCGTAGGTACATCATAATAATATATATATATATATAACAGTAGTTATTAATATTACTAAATTTACTAACGATTTAGCTAAGTTTATATATATATATATATATATATATACATACAACTATACAAGTGATATGGCATGCCCATTGACGTTGGCATACCCTTTCCCCCCAACACGAATTAACCTACGAGTTTGTGTATAATTGTAAGTGTAATATGTATGACGTGCATATAATATGTGTGTGAATGCGAACCAGTGCAGTTCACACACGGTATTCAAGTTTGTCTGGAAAAACGGCGCGTCAAAAGAAAAAAAACAAAACAAAATGTAAAAATAAATAAAAACTTTTTTCCTATTTCATATAATATTATATTAWAATGATTAATTTAATATGAATATTTGACGTACGTACAATATCTAAGTCTATATACACAACAACAGTCTTTAATAAAAAAAAAAAAATTATACATTATATATAATAAATCAAATTATATATATACTTAATCTTATAATTAATTTAATATATAATAAACGATCACCGTACAAAATGAACAAAATAATGTTTTAAGGATATTCCACCCTGTTCTATCACATATTATATTATTTCTTTCGTTTTTTTTTTTTTTTTTTTATGTTTAAATTTTTTTACACACGCCCGCGATACAAAAACGAAAAAACTACCTCGGTGGTCATGTTATAAAATCGACTAATGTATGTCATTACACAACAATAGCTGCTTACGAGTAGTGTGTATATGTGTGTGTGCGAAAGAGAGAGAGAGAGAGAGTGGTGCGTATTCAGCAGCATCGTCGTATGAAGATTTGGAGATAGGTACTATGACTTGGTTGATAATCAATTTTTTATTTAACATTTTTTTTATGTTTTAAAATTATATAATATATTATTTAGATACAATATAGAAATATACATATATATATATATATATATACACCTATGGCAGTGGAAATGCGTAAAAAAATCCTTAGAGTAACACTACAATAAGACTACCATGTTTATACATATACATATATACATACATATGTATATTATTTTAACGAAATAGGYGTATAAGAATAAAAAATATTCTAAACAGTCTAGGAAGACACAATAATAATGAAATCGTGTGAAAATACGTATAGATACACATAATAGTTATAAACGTAGGTCATTTTTATCTTATGCAAGTCATTGGGATTCGGTTCTTTTAAGCAAATAATAAAAAGATATAAATACATACGATCAGTCGTGTTTTTGAAAGTCCCAGACAATAATAACAGATCAATTCGGCGCGCATCAGATTGTTAAACATGCAGTAGAACACAAGACAGATTAAGTATGTCGTTATGACTTTTACAGATAAACTCTCTCGTTATGTGTATGTATATCATTTACTCAAAACATAATTTTAAATGGCAATGGTTCGAAAAGAAAAAAAATATTAATGTTGTAGATAGATTTCACAGCAAAGCACCATAACTTAAGTACATTATTTAATACAGAAAAATAATGCTTTCTCTGCAGTTAGAATAAATAAATACTTATTGGATTTTCACTAAGGATGTATTTTTTCATTTTTGTCTGTAAGTAATAATTATTTTATGCATTATGCTTAGTATGATTWACAGTGTGATAATTTTAAATTTAAATTTTATTTTGTCCGATATCAGAAGAATGTAACAAATTGATAAACATCAGTCTATAAAATATAGTTGATGTTTGAAATTCATTGAAAGAAAAAAAAAATTACATAAATGAAACAATTTACATTTAGGTTTTTGTAATTTATTAAAAAAATAGTGTACATGCAATGCTGATACTTAGTCACGTCAAAATAGAGTATCGGCCAGTTATGAGTAAACATTTAGACACAATTTCAAAATGTATTTGTCTGTAATAGTATTACTATAGATTAAATAACACTTATGCCATTTAATCTATGGTTATACAAAAGTATTTGAGGTAGCTTTGAAAATTATCTGCGTATACGCGAAGATAAAAATGGCGATTGGCAAGTTTATAAAAATACGTTATTAACTAATTATACGTATCTTATCAGATAAAAATTATTCGTCGATTTATTTTGTTGTTATTTAGTCTATTAAATCTGTTAAAATAAAGTTATAGTTGAATTCTATAACATATTTGTAATAAAAAAAAAAAAAAAAAAAAAACAAAAAAAAACAAAAACAATATCAATGGAAACAATAAAACTGTTTTCTGACACTACTCAGTACAAATCTAAATTTAAAAATTACGTTCTTTCCCTATAGATTAATCACAGTTATTCGATTTTTACATTGAAAACAAGTGTAAATTATCTCTTTTACATTTTATACGATTTGATCATGTTATGTTTATTGCTACAGGACTTTGACCTATACATACCCCAATCATGTCATCTTGTTCTTGTTTCGTTCGATTGGAATGGGAAGTTGGTACCCGTGCAACAGGCTGTTGTACTGGCGGTGGTGGTGGTGGGTGATTATGCAACGAATGCAGTGAGCGTGGAGGTTGTGATTGTATAGGTTGATACGGGTGATGTTGTGGATGTAGGAACGGCAAAGAGGTGGGTCGACAGTGAACCAAAGCACCAACAGCGGATGCTGGATTCATTGGGTAAACTGTAGAATGGTGAGGCAGATGGTGTCTAGCCATTGGAGCCGTTTGGTAACCGTGGTACATAGAAGCAATCGGCGGAGGATCACAATCCATTGTACTTCTACCTCGGCACTGGTCCGACCGCAATCTTATTGCTATAATAAAATAAACCAATTTAATTAAGAATTTACTTATTATCATTAATATAACTACTATAAAAAATAATTTAAAGGCAATAAAAACTTCAAAAAATGCATTAATACCAAACAAGCAATGATACTATGATAAATCAGTGCAAATAAAATGGGAGTATTTAACTTAAAAATTATGAATGACACAAGTTATGAATAAAACAATCTAAGTAATWTTGTTTTTATTCTCAAAAAGTAAAAACACAATAGGAAAGTTTTTATTTAATTTGTCTTAATACATAGAAGGTATAATTATTGTCATGTATCATAAATGTTAAATTTTCAAACATATGAAAAAAAAACTATTTACATTTTTATTAAATAGATATTTCAAGATAATTATTTTAAATCAACTTAACTCTTAAGGAATATCATAGTTTGTAATTTTGTAATGTTTATATTGTAAATAATATAAAATACTCAGTAGTCAAAATATTTAACCATCAATTTTATATACAATCTATTTTATATGCATACTAGACAAAATACTAAATAAATAAAYAATACTTAATTAAAGTATACAAGTACAGAAATAGTTAATAAAATAAAACTAAATCAATACAATAACTTAAAATGATGTTTCTAAATTCCCAATAGGTGACTTAAACCAGTTTATAAATTTTTCATGAAGGGGACACATGTGTTGTCTCCATCTTATAATTGCGTAACATACTAAATTTTACGCTCAGCAGATCACGTTTAGCTCGTRAGTTTTAAATTTAGAATGAATTGACCTCTCATAAAAATTAAAGGTAATATTATTATCTAGGGCTTCTCATTGTATTTTAAGATATACAAACAATTAACAATATTATAAAATACTCTTAATTTGTTTTAAAATTAAAATATAATAAAAAAACTTGTATGAAGTCCTAAATAAAACTGTTACCTTTAAATTTTATAAGAGGTCAATTCACTCTAAATTTTAAACTAATGAACTAAACGTAATCTRCTCAGCGTAAAATTTGCTGTTAAGCATTTGTAAGACGAATACAACACATGCAGATGTAGTGTACTCTTAAGTTAATATTAAGTATATTAAAACACCACCAACAAAAATTGAATTAAATGCACGCCTTAAAATTATGAAACCTTAACTAATATTATGTAGTTAAATATTAATTATGAAAAAGAATAATCCATTTTAAACAAAAATACAATGTAAGGTTTCATATCAACCAATTTAAATAGATACTCTAAATACATTATTCTTTAAAWAAGGCCAAAGTTTAGTAACAAAATATAAGTACTTATTCATCCATGTCATGCAAAAAGTGGCAGAATGAAATTTTATGTAATTTCAAATTTGTACAACTTCATATTTTTTTCACTTAGCCACTTACCACACTACCACAGGGGCAATTTACTTTAATTACTTAACATTTTTCAAAAAAAAAATTTTCTATTTAACTGCTTAAGCTTTTGAGGAGGGAATTATGTTGGTTTATAAGATACAACATACAACCCTATAAAATATAGAAACATTGATGTTAAAAATATATATATACACAGCCAACTCTCGATAATTTGAAGATAGTTTAACTTTTGAAAAAATTTGAATTATCAAGAATTGAATTATTGAGTGGTTTGAACTTTGAAATACAAATTACTGAGTTATGAAAAAAATATAAATGCTCCCTATGCCAATATCTTAAAGAATGTACATAAACATAATTGCTTGTCAAAAGTTTGATTAGGAATATTTTGGTAAATACTTAAATTAAATTTTAAAATAAAATAAATAAATGTTGTGTCATTTCAAAAAAATACAAAATCTTAACTATACATTTCTTCAATAAAGGGTTTAAAAAACTCATATGTTACATTCATTAGAACTTAATCATGACAAGATAAAAAAATCTTACTAAAACATTAGTAAAAACAAGCCTAAAAAGTTAAATATTCACTTTATATAACTCTTATATTATAATATATGATATAAAATAAACTTTTTTTCTAAAATGACTTTATATTTAATATCATGATCTACTTTGAAGGCTACCATGAAAATAGTGGACAAGTTTTAACTACAGAAACATGTTACCATCTACCATGAGAAATTAAATAGTCATAATACTCTAATACTAAAAATAAAGATGTACTTAAATGATACGTGCTCAAAAAAAGCAAGATGATTTCACTATCAAATAACAATTCATGTTATTAATTACTCAATGGCATATGTGTGGGCGTATTTACATTTATAATATATGGTTTAGTATTTAATGTTATTACTCAAAATTACATAGTATTAATTACACAAAMAACACACGTCACATGACATATTAAGATTTGACTTACACTTTTTTTCGAAAACTAACACGTTGACCCAAAGTTTAGCAATAGTCATCGAGCGTAAAAATGTGTAGGGAAAGTGTTTCCTTCAAAGTAAGCAAAAAAAA